GGTATTCCTCGCATCAACCCGCCGTAGCCCCGTGTCGTCAACCAACGACCAGCTTAGCCGTCGTCTAAACGGAGCAAGGAAGTTGGATCGAGGAATACGGGCCGTCACGGGGATGAATTCACTTCACGCGACGCAGCGCATCCTCGCCTCCGCTCCGTTGGCCCTGTGCGCGTCGTCCTCGGCCGCTCGCTCGATCCACCCTCGCCGCCTCCCGCATCCTCGGCACTTTACTGCCCCTCCTCCCTGTCGTCCCCGTCCCCGTCGTGCTACCTCCTCGACGGCCAACTTCACCCCTCCGACATCGTCGTCCTGTAGTCCAAGAGCGCTCCTTCCGCGCCAGCTTCGCAACATGGCTGGTCCTTCCGCCCCTACAGAGCTGCGCTTCAGTAAGTCATAGCCCTTCACGTCCATGTCCACCGCCGTCAATTGACGTCCCACGCCCCGGGCCCTCGAGCTAATCGCCCACCGCGCGCAGAGAACCCCGCCGTCTTGTTCGTCATCACCGCCCGACCTGTTCTTCACGCGCGCGCCGCCTCACCAGCCAGTGCCGCGTCCGCACACCCGTACTGACGAGCCGCAGGGTCTGCGATCTCCAGGAAAAGTTCCGCAATGCCATCTACGAGTTCGACAGCATGTACGCCACCCTCGCCCTCCCGCTCTCCCCCTCTCCCTCTCTCGTCCCCCGACGACGAAAAAAAAAAAACTAACACCACGACCAGTGTAGCCACCACCACCAAGCTGCTCACCTTCGCCAACGCCGTCAACATCCCCGTCCACGCAACCACCCAGACGGCCGCCAAGCTCGGCCCTACCGTCCCCGCGCTCGCCTCCCTCCTCCCCTCGCCGCCGCACGACAAGACCAAGTTCTCCATGCTCATCCCCCCGCTGGCCGCCGCCCTGCCGCCCGCCTCGCGCGTCGCCCTCGTCGGCATCGAGTCCCACATCTGCATCACCCAGACCGCCCTCGACCTCCGCGACGCAGGCCACTTCCCCTACGTCATTGCCGACGCCGTCAGCAGCTGCAACAGGACAGAGGTCATCATCGCCCTCGACAGGCTGCGCGCTGAGCATGGCGTCACCGTCACCTCTTCCGAGAGCTGGATGTACGAGTGCATGGGCGACGCTTCCAACCCAGCCTTCAAGACCTTGATTGGCGTCGTCAAGGGTGCCGTTGCCGACACCAAAAAGGTCCTCGAGACGTTGCCGCCGACTTCCAAGATTTAGAATGACTTTTTAGATTTTCTTTTTTCCCCTTTTTTCCCTTTTGTCATGTTGCGTATTTGCAAAAATACCACATTTCACTCTGCCACGAATGTAAACCTAGGCATATTTGGTAGAGAACTTCTGTTGTTTTATTTTACACTTCCTGCATCATGAGGTCGTGGCTGTAGTTGCTTCTGGCCTGATTCCGTTGCCTCTCAAATGTGAATTACCTCCTCTACATAGCCCCTCTCCCTTCTGCCCCTGCCCCTGGCCCTCTTCCAAGAAGAAAAAAGAATCGACAGCACATCGTGTAAGCATAAACAATGGACAAAGCTAGAGCAAACCTATCATGACACATAGCAATCACCCTCCTGCCGGTGAAGTCTTGGAAGCTTTGGTGGCCGGGGTCATCCACGAGAATGCAGAAGCCACTCCAACTGGGTTGGCAGATCGCGGCAGTGTTGCGCCCTTTTGATTCTCTCGATTCGAACTCTCCATCTTTAGCTCTGCACCTGAGCTGACAGACCGTTTAACATCCCAACGGTTGGCCACGCTGATGCCGCCGCCGCCACCATCACCGTTCAAACTAACCTGACTCTTGCGTCTACCCTCAGTGGAGAATTTAGGCGGCAGGGGTGGCTCGTATGAAGCACCGGTTCGGGCCGAATTGGAGTTTGATTTTAGAGGTTTCAATACCTTCATGTTACGGCCACTGCGGCCCGCCGGTTGGTAGCCGCTCAGAGGGCCAGTCTCTCGCTGTGTCCCGTCTGGCCCAGCGCCAGCGCCTTGTCGCCACGAACCCCATATCCCAGTAGAGGTTGATGATGACTCCCGTCGGGACACCTCTGAAGCGCTCGTGTCATCTTTTCCGCTTGTCTCGGAATAGTTTGCTTCTCGTCCGTGGTTGTCACTATCGCCGCCATGTTCAGAGGTTGCTTGCCGCTCCTCTGATTTGTGAGACTCCATATCCGACTCATGAGGTGATATTGGCTGAGCAGGCGCCGCTTTTTCGTGCAGCGTTCCTGGAGAAGGTGCGCCATTCCTACCATTATTCGAGGCCCGGCTGTCTACTAGAACAAATGGTGTTGCCGTCGCATTCAATTTGGGCTTTTCCGGTACCATGCTCGTCGTGTATATATACCGGAAAGCATCCTCATCCTCAGGCCTTACAAACGGAACTCGTAGCCGTTCTTGTTCATTTCCATACAGGACCATGGTGTTTTGTGAAAAGAGTACATCGGCTGAGTGAGCCCTCAAGGCATCACTTCCAATATATATGCGAATGCCCTTACGATCGCCAATCGTGCTGGACTGCTCGTTGCCCGTAACCTCGAACGCGACCGCCATGGAAGGAACTCCCCCCGTTGAGCTTCCATTGTGGCTTTCGTGTCGCGTAACCACTGCTTCGGCCAGATATACATTGAGCCTGATTCGATCAACTCCGTCAATATCTCGTTCAACCTCCCTCGAGAGATCCAGTTCTTTAAGCAAAGATGAATCGACGACGGACTTTTGCGAGCCGGTGCAAACGTCTGCGTACAAGAGAGTGCCGTGGGCGAAGTTTGTAGTAAGCCAGCATCGAACGATCGATGGCACGGTGCCTAGCACATACAGAGATACCGGTGGGCCGGGTATCTCAAACGAGGAAGAGTCGTCATCACCCCCTGCGTAGTTGGTATCAAGGCCCAGGCTACTGGCCCGACCGGATGCCAATGAATGGTGTGAGTGAACTGAGTGGCCGGCAGAGCTGTGTCTCCCATCAGATTTGTGGGACAAAGTGCGTTCCATCATAAGCCCGCTGCCAGGTCGTAAAGGCCCAAAGTCGCCCGAATGTCGGTTGCTTTGGCCACCCCAGCTGGAGCCATGCAAGGCGCTTTCATCGAACCTAACACTATTAGCTCGCGAAGCTGCACCCCGCCGCACAGGCTCTTCTTCAGCTGGACCGAGATGGAGAGACCCGAGCAGTTGCTCCCCTTGCTCATCCAAGTCATCGAAAACATCATTGTGTGGTGTTTGGACAGGCCCTGTAGTCTAGTCAGCACTTGTATCTAGCTAATTTCAACGGTTTATATACCTTGGTGTGGCGTGCCGCCTAAAATCCCGGGAAACGGGGAATTCCACACTGATTTCAAAGCTGAATCATCCGCACTGCGTTTCTCTAATCTCAACAGCCGCTCCGCGTGATTGCTCTGGGTATATTGAACTTGTTTCACCTCCATCTGTAGGTTATACAGATCATCACGCGAGATGGGAAACCGAGTATCCATTCTTCAAGAGCAAAAAAAAAAAAACTTTTTTTTGGCACAACGCAAAGTAGGATGTACCAGGTTGTGCCAGGTCGGAAGATGGCATCAGTGTCTTGGCTGGTTGAATGGCGGTATGAAGGCAAATGAGTGAGTGAACGAAAATATTTGTTGACACGTCTTGTTGTACAGTACTCTTGTAGAATTTCCTCCGTCACCCAGACAATCGAATGCTGAGTATACTAACAGAGTCGTTTGGCGCCTGGCTGAACTCCCTTTCTCGCTTCAAGACAACTCCGCCCACGCATCATCAGGTCAAGACCTACGAGTGGCCCTGCAGCGCCGATGGCGATGGCCTTGCGCAAGCGCAACGGCTACACAACTTTCAAAATATTCCGATGGCACTGATTCGTGTTTATGGAAATGCTAGGAACGTTGGGGCTCTGGGGATATCAGGATGCTGCGCCAACCAAAGTACAATAGGAGTGAAAATGCTTTCGAGGGTATACGGTATCGTTGAATGTCTGGAAACTGAGGTGTGTTGGATGTAGTATTTGACGAATCGTTGATTATTCCAGAGCCCGGTATTTGGTAGAACGCTGCTTTCTCGTGCAGGAAAGTCGGATGCCGGGGGTGATTTATGGTTCTGATGAGTTCGTCACGGGAGCTGGAACGAATTGGAATGCGCCGAGTTGATGGGTATCGAGGTGAGCCCAGGTGGATTTCCAGTTATTCAAGAGTTTTGGAGTGTTCAATCGATTCGGATCTTGGTAGAGTCGCGTGTTTGCAGGCCCTAGTGAATAGGGAAAGTGGTTGCAGAAGCTGGTGTTGAAGCGTTGTCGGGAGATGGAGGGATGAAGTTGAACGGTGACGAGTTAACACCGTCTGGTGCTCAATAGGTTGGCCAAGTTGCTGAAAGGTGACGGCTCAAGGCCCCCCCCCCCTTCCTGCCTGCTCCTCCCTGGCCCCTGTGGGTATATCCGCGCTAAACTGAGACGGGCCAACGAGTGGGAGGAACCATTGGCAGGAGCGGTCCCGGAAGCTGCATGTCCCTGCTGTCTTGCCTTTTTCAGGTACCTGAGGTACTTTCCGGAACAACAAAAATAAATAATAAAGGGATGTATTCTGACGATCCGGCAAAAGCTGAAAGATTGAGCCGTTTTGAAAATTGCGTAAGGATGGTATGATGAGACATGACATTTGCAGTCCTTTCGCATGGCCCACGTGGGCTCATAGGGCGTTTTGGATCTAAAATCATAAGACATACCCCTCCATGCAGCACTCCTAGTCATTAATTGCACGGAGTTTTGGGGTTTGGGGTCGAGGCAGTGAGGAATCACCGAGGACGAGCGCGGCAATACTTCTTGAGTAATCGGTACGTATCGTTGAATTGATAGGTAGAGGTGAACCGTTGGGGCTTGACTACATTTTCTCTTCACTGTTCAACGTACAGCCCCGTAAATGAAGCACGAGTCTATTCTATCAATATCTATCAATATCTAGTCTTTCGTATTGACTTGAAATGACGTCGCGAGTCGCACCACAGTTCACCACTCATTCCTTGAGAGGGTTCAGGACACGCCAGTCAGGGAAGACGTACCCTGATCTATCATCAGCAGCCAGGTTTGCCCATTCTTCCCCAATTAAACACTTCAGTTCATCATAGAATACTCTGTAGGCCTCACCATTCATATGAATGCCGTCTGGAAGAAGACTGTCCAATCCACCCTGCTTACCGTTCTCAGGGGAGCCCAACAAATGTCCACCCTGTATATAATCGTTTGGCGCCGCCATGCTGATAGCCTTGTCCATAATAGCTTTCCACAGATCAACTGAACTGACGTTTGGATTCTCACTGGCAACTTCTCGCGCCTTTTCCGCGTACGAGGCAGTGACCGCGGACAACCGAGCGGCGGGCGCGTGACCGTTTTCCCCAAGCTTTGTCAACTTGATCTCATCCACTGGGGGAGGGGTAACCAATAATATCTTTGGGTTGTGTGCTTGAATGTGTGGGTGTGTGACAATGCTTGTCAGGTTTTCTTTATATTCGTCGATTGGGACATGCTGTGAAGAGGTGGGAATCGCGGCATCATTGGCGCCGAGCAAAACTACCTAACATAGAACCAAGGTTAGCTGGAAATCTGGAATGAAGGGACTCATGGTACATACCAAGTATTTGATCTTGGGCGAAGTTTCTGTCGGCTTCGGGAAGATTTCGGAGAGAAACTTGACAGCATTGGCAGTGTTCCAACCCGAGAAGCCACGATTCACAACATCAAGCCGTCGAATGAACCCTGTGTAAGGATCAGTATCAATGAGACGAGAGCGGGTGGTTTGCCTTACGTGACTGCAGTTCAGCCTGCATGGAAAACCCGTCTTGCAGGTCGACAGAACGCTGCAATAGCGAGTCGCCAAACAGTACAAGCTGAGGATACGGGCCCTTTGTCCAAGTCAGCGCTGTGTTTTAAGCGTCCAGTGGTTTCACTTACAGCCATTTTGTCCAGATTGTACGGTATACCCAGTCGATACGTCCGTGTAGAGAGTACGACTGTGTAGAGATGATATGGATCCGAATCGTGCAGCGAGATCCTGAGAATGATGTTGACGGGTCTGAGGTGGACGGCAAAACGGAAGTTGGCGCACTACCTTTAAAAGGGCCTTGGGAACAAAAGAGCGCGAACAAAGAAAGGTATGAGGCTGAAGTCCGGTCAGAGTTCCATTCAAGCACCAGACCGCGAGCCTTGCACATCCAAGCACCGGACTCAGAACAATGAACCCAGTGCCTAGGTACGTACTTTAGGCACGCAGGCTCTGAATCTTGGAAGGGAAGCCTATCGGGTGTTCACTGTAATGATGTGCCCGCTCGCGGAGGAGTATATTATGTTTGCATACTAGTGACTTGGTACTCCGTATGCCCTACCATGATCTATTATGATCACACGGCGGCCAGGTACCCGGTCTGGTCAAACTCTTTGCCTCCACTGGTGCCGTCGATAGGCTTGGGAGCGAGGTGTCGTTGAGCCGGGCCGCAATATTGAAGTCTTGAAATTATATGATCTGATGGAGTACGCCACATGTATTGTAACTTATGTACATACATACACTTTCAGATAAGTGCTGGAAGCCACATGCCCGGGGGCCGGGACAATGTGGTACGGCATCGGCTGAAACCCCAAGGAACCAGCCCCACCCGAGAGTTCTGGCGTTCTTGTTGCGTTGTAACTTGCAAGTTCCCCTCGTACAATGTCAAGCGGCTTTCCTTATCGATAAGCCGGTTTGGCTCAGACCCATATTTTTTATGCCAGCCAAAAAAAAAAATTTGGCAAGCAACTACAAACTACCAGTCAACTAATAGACCTTCGGTGAGACCTTCATTTCTGCCCGCCACAAGACTGGTTGCCAAACACCAACCACGCCGCATTGAGCTCGCCTTCTCGGCTCGAAGAGTCTCGAAGCGCTGCAGCCATGGCGACCTCTCTTGCTTCGCAGTTGGCGCAAATTGCCGCCAACTCCAAGTCAACTCTCAACTTCAAAACCCAGAAGGCTGCACACTCCAAGTCTCTCATCTGGGAGCCTCGTGTCGCCGCTACTCAAAGCTACCAGACGTTGTATACAATATGCCATCCCGGATTCGAGGAGCTTTGCCAGCTTGATAATCGTTTTGCACGATTCCAATCGACTATTTTCAGCGAAGAGAGTCAGACCCAGGACAGAACCCAGCTGTCCGCCAGCGAGAATGAGGAACTCGATCGCCAGATTGAAGCCTTCCTCCGCTTGGCCGGAAGCAAGTTAAGACTTATGCCAGCAATCAAGTCGATTGAGTGGTTAATTCGCCGATTCCGGTATGCTATCCTTCCACTTCAACTCCGCCGCGCGCCATCTTTATTTTAACCCGACTTCAGTATTCACGAAGAGAACACAGCCCTTCTGCTGATGACTTTTCTCCCTTACCATTCTATTCCTACGTTTGCAACACTTCTGTCTATCTTACCCGCCAAAGTTCCACATGAATTTCGATTTCTCGACCCGTACATCCGATCTTTGACGTCACCACCGAGATCAGTCATCGTACACCAGACAGTCCACCATCCCGAGTTCCTGTCCTCAGTATCTGAGTACACGCTTGAATCATGCCGAAAACAGTATCACTATCCTGCCCTAGTTATGTTTTGGGGTGGCCTCATGACCGAAGCTGTAAATGGAATGTTGGATAGGACACGATCTGGTCGCGCCTCTGTTCAAAGTCAAAACACTCAAGACTTGCTACACAGGTTAGGTCCAATCTTCGCAGAGTCTCTCGTCATGAAGAAGGTGCCTGGCCTCCAAATTGCGTCTTACATGGCGATGACTGTCTTTGTTTCCAAGGGAAATTTGGAAGATAATGCGGTAACAGCTTTCATGCAGCAGACCGTCTACGGTTGGACGAACGAAACGATTCGCCCTGGCCTTGTATGTCTTGTGATCATGGCACAATTCAGATCGGCGAAACAAATGAGCAACAAAGTCACCAAGGCGCTGATGAAGGTCCAAGATATTGGCCCCATGTTGGTCGAGATTGGCAAGGAACACAGGGTGGACAAATTGGCCAATGGACTTTGCCTCGCCTTGATTGAGCGATTTTCCAAGAAAGGGGATTCCCGGGGACTACCCACCATCATGGCCATCTTGGGCAGCACAATACTCAAGGAGAAGCAAATCGCAGTCATCTTCAAGTCCCTGCTTTTGGCCGCCCTAAAGCTCGATGACAATAACGACGAAGATGGCGCGCTAAGGCGAGAGCTTGGTTCTGCTTTAATATCTCTATCGCAGACTACTGGGAAGTCTGGTGAGATTATTCAGTCAGTTATCCAAGATGTCGAGTTTGATATTGAGGAGCTGGAAATGAAACTAGACCTCTCATTCAGAACTAGAAATCCTCCCGCGCTGGATGAAAACACAACAACCGACCAACTGGAAAGTGTTAAGAAGCCTCGGGACTTGAGTGGTGCCGTTGATGAGCTTGCTACGCGAAAAGAGTCACTCTCGCCCTGCCTTTTGCCTGAACCAAACGAACTATTCGAAGAATTTAGCCACCTTTTCTTCTCAATCGTGTCCGAGACTTCTCAGCAAAGCGATATGATGGCTAAATTTGATGGAATCCCCCAGCTCGGACGCGAGGCCGCCTTCAAGGACTCCACGTATTTTAGCTTTTTTATTCGAATTTGGTCTGGGCCTTATCCTGCCCTGGCTCGCATGGCCGCTTTGAATATGGTCAAGAATAGGCTCAAGTCTAGCGATGCAAGCAAGATGGACGTGCAAGCTCTTATTCCGTACGCAGTAACGGCTTTGAGCGATCCCTCGAAACGAGTTCGGCAAGCGGCTGCCGAGCTCATCGCCGTGGTCACTGACATATACACTCCCCCCATCTCAGCCAAGTCAATGATGACTTGGGACTCCGGCTTGCTCTACGGCGAGGCCAAGGATAAAAAGCCTCTTCCTGTCGATGTAACTGCAAAGATGCTGCACTTGCAACTTCTTCCCAGCATCGAGGAGTGTGTCATGGACCCTGAGCACATTACATCAATTCTCAAGTCGGTCATTGAGCAAGGCAAATACCAAGTTGCTCCTCAACCAGCCTTGGACAAAAAAGATCATATGGGCCAATCGGCTAGACTAGAAATACTGTCATTTTTTGCTTCTCATGCCCAATTGACGCCTTTGATACTGGTCAAAAACAGGCTTTTGAAATCTTTGAACGAGGTCAAGGGTGTTGGAAACACGCCCCGAACACGGATGTTGTTACCGTTGCTGAACTGGTGGACAAGTCTGAGTGAATCAGAAATCCGAAGGCGATGCACTGCGGAGAAACAAGATATTTTGACTCTGGACTCTCGGTTCGTTGATGTTGTTGTGCCCAATGACACTGAGGGTCTCGAGTTTCTCTTCAAGTTGCTCAAGGAGCCTGCTCAAAGAGAAAAGGCAGACCTCACGCGAGCCATTTTTGGCCGCTTGCGAAAGATGTGGCCTTCCATGAAAGACCCTGTTAAGTTCATGGTGGCAGAGCAGCTCCTGGAAATCTCGCAAGAGTCGCCTTCTTCTTCAGACGACGAAAGCTCAATCGTTTCGATAGAAGCCGCCGAGTTACTTCGGGCGGTCCCCCTAACCACCGACATTTTATCCTTCTTCCTTGATTCTATCCAGACTGGAACCAAGATGATCACGGAGCCGCCTCCAAACAAGCGCCGCCGCACAAGCTCTGCGGATGTCAGTCGAAGCCTCATCACTCATGTGACCCCGGAGCTAAGCCAAGCACTGCGTAAAGTTACCTTTGTCTTGCAGCTTGTTGATAACTCGGACCCGGTTTCGCATCCCGAGTTACTGGATGGCCTCTTCACAGCTCTGTCAGAACTGCAACACTTTAGAACAGTCGTTGGTTCAGAGCTTGGTTATCTGCAGAACTTGATTCTTCGTAGCCTGTTGGCCATGATGCCGACTTACAAGGCTGACAAGGCGTTGACAATTGATAGTTCTGGCGGCTACGGTGATTTGCTTGTTAACTGCATCCAGAAGTCGTCCAGTCCTGTAGTCCAAAACGCCGCACTCTTGTTGGTTGCCAATCTTGCCACCACCGCCCCCAATCTTGTTCTTCACAGTGTCATGCCCATCTTCACCTTTATGGGGACGTCTGTGCTGCGACAAAGCGATGACTATTCTGCTCATGTAGTCTCTCAAACTATCAAGGAGGTTGTGCCCCCCTTGATCGCGTCTCTTCGTCATGGGAAAAACGGGCCTGTTGCTGGTGCTTCGGACATTCTTGTCAGCTTCACAACCGCCTACGAGCACATCCCATCTCACAGACGACAAGGCTTGTTCGTGGCTCTAGTCGAAACTCTGGGACCTCGAGATTTTCTCTTTGCCCTTATCAGCATGCTGGTCGACCGTTACGACACAAGCGAAGCACTCTTATCCTTCATTGTTGACCTCTTGAACAACTTTGACATAAAAACGCAATTGGAAACCTTCGTCAAAGTCGTGGAGCTCGTGTCCGATCTATTCAAGCCCAAACCCGGCATGTCATTTGTCCTACTAGGGATCACTGACGATGGGGATAAAGACGTCGAAAAGGTTGCCCTTCGGCAACTTTCGGCACTCCCGAGCTTTTTGGCCAACAAAAAATTGCGATCTCAAATTGGAAAACTCGCTGATCGGGAGGATATGGACACAGCGGAAGTGCGAGAGTTTTATGCCACCTTGCTCGAGAACATTCTCATTTTGGCCGACACCGTCAAGACGAATAGGACGCTACACGGACGATGTGGATCTGCGCTGTCCAACTTGCTCAACCTGCTATCTATTGGAGAATTCATCAAGGCAGTGGAGAACCTGCTGGACCGACCTGATCTGGGTTTGCGGCAAAAGGTCCTGCGTGCCCTCGAGGTTCGGGTTGAGACGGAAAGTAACACTGATCCCGCTTCCAGGAATGCTCTGCTATCATTCTTGCCCCAACTCACGGCTG